ATCCTGTGTAATCTCTTTTCTCAGTATTTTCTAATTTTCTCTATAGAGATTCTTTAGTTGTTGTTAGATACATTGCAAGGTATTTTGTTTTGTTTGATACTACCATGAAGGGTGTTGTATCTTTGATTTGATTCTCAGCTTGACTGTTGGTGGTGTTCATGAAGGCTACTGATTTGTGTACATTGATTTTTAACCTGAAACATTGCTGCATTTCTTGATTACTTTGAGGAGTCTTGTGGCTGAGTCCTTGGGGTTTTCAAATTATTGGATCCTATTATTTGTAAAGAGTGATAGTTTAACCTACTCCTGCTCTCATATGGATACCCTGGGTATCTTTCTCTTGTCTAATTGCATTGGCTCAAACTTCCAGCACTGTGTTGATAAGTAGTGGAGATAGTGGGCATCCTTGCCTGGTTCTGGTTCTAAGCAGGAATGCTTTCAACTTTTCTCCGTTCAATGTTATGGTGGGTATGGGTTTGTCATAGATGGCTTCTATCAGTTTGAGAAATGTCACATCTATAGCTATGTTCTTAAGGATTCTTATCAAAAGAGGATGCTGAATTTTGTCAAAAGCTTTTTCCGCATCAATTGAGAGAATCATATGGTCCTTGTTTTTACTTCTGTTTATGTGGCGGATTACATTCATAGATTTGTACATGTTGAACCAGCCTTGCATCCCTCAGATAAAACCCATGTGGTCATAATGGATAATTTTTTAATGTGTAGCGGAACTGTTCACAAAGATTTTAGTGAGTATTTTTGCATCAATATTCATTAAGGCTATTGGTCTGTAATTTTGTTGTTGTTGTTGTGTCCTTTCCCAGTTTTAGTATCAGGATGATATTTGCTTCATAGGAGTAGTAGGGAAGGAGTCCTTCTCAATATTTTGGAATAGATTATGCAATATAGATATGAGCTCTTCTTTGAAGGTTTGGTAGAATGCTGGTGTGAAGCTGGTCTGAGACTTTTTTTCTGTTGGAAGTTTTTTTATTGTTTGGATATTGTAGCTTGGAATTGGTCTGTTCAAGAGTTCCAGTTCTTCTTGGTTAAGTTCAAGGAGGTAGTATGATCCCAGGAATTGGTCTGTTTCCTCTACATTTTCAAATATCTGGATGTAGAGATCTTTGTAGTATTCAGTGAAGATTTTTTTTTTAACCCTGTAGTATCAGTGGTTATTTCTTTTTTCATTTCTGACTGAGCTTATCAAAGATCTTGCTTTTCTATTGCTAATCTGGCCAAGGGCTTATCAATTTTGTTTATCATTTCTAAGAACCAGCTTTTTATTTCACTAACCTTCCAAATGGTTCTTTTGTTCTCAATTTCTTGTAGTGGTCTGATTTAATTGCTCTAACTTTTCCAGCTCCTTGAGATGGGTTATTACATTGTTGACTTGCACTATTTCTGATTTCTGGATGTGGTCATTTATGTCACCCTCAATAGAGTCCTGTGGTGTCACAGCTCACAGCAACCTACCTCAAACTCTTGGGTTTAGGTGATTCTCTTGTCGCAGCCTCCCAAGTAGCTGGGACTACAGGCACCCACCACAATGCCCGGCTATTTTTTGGTTGTAATTGTCATTGTTGTTTGGCAGGCCCAGGCTGGGTTCAAACCCACCAGCTCCAGTGTATGTGGCTGGTGCCCTACCTGCTGAGCTACAGATGCGGAGCCATAATATGATAAATTTCTAACTTAGGACTGCTTTTGCAGTATCTGACAAGTTTTAATAGCATGTGGTTTCATTGTCATTTTGTTTTAGGAATCCAGTAATTTCCTTCTTTATCTCTTTTTTGATCCAGTTATTGTTTAACAGTAGGCTGCTTAGAGTTCATGACTTTGTGTGAGGATGCCACACAAATGCCAAGCGTTTTTATTGGCATTGAGTTCTATTTTTATTCCTTTATGGTCCATAAAGATACATGGTGTAATTTCTGTTTTTATAATTTCTTGAGGCTCGATTTGTATCCTAGAATGTGATCAACCTTGGAGAATGATCTTTGAGCTGATGAGAAGAACATACATTCAGTAGTATTGGGGTGAAATGTTCTGTAGATGTCTGTTAAGTCTAGTTGTGCTAAAGTCCTGTTTTAATTCTTCATTTCTGTAGTTTCTGCTTGGAGGATCTGTCCCGTTCTGTCAGTGGGTGTTGAGGTCCCTGGCTATTACAGTGTTGTTTGTTATTGTATTGTTCAGACCACAGTAGGGTTTGTTTTCTAAATCTGGGAGCATTTATGTTAGGTACATAAATGTTTAGAATTGAAACATCTTCTTGTCTGTTGGTCTCTTGACCAATATATAGTGTCAACCTTTGTCTTTCTTTACTTCTGCTGTTTTTTTTATTATTTTTTTTTTTTTTTAAAACAGAGCCTCAAGCTATCCCCCTGGGTAGAGTGCTATAGCTTCACAGCTCACAGCAACCTCCAACTCCTGGGCTCAAGCAAGTCTCCTGCCTCAGCCTCCCAAGTAGCTGGGACCACAGGCGCCCACCACAATGCCCGGCTATTTTTTGGTTGCAACTGTCGTCGTTTGGCGGGTCCAGGCTGGATTCGAACCCACCACCTTAGGTGTATGTGGCTGGCGCCTTAGCCACTTGAGCCACAGGTGCCGAACCACTTCTGCTGTTTTAAAGCCAGTTGTACCTGCAAAGAGGGTTCTGACACCCACTTTCCTTTGTTTCTGTTTGCCTGAAATACTGTTTTATTGCCCTTTATTCTGAGTCTTGATATATCCTTGGGGGTTAGATGTATTTCCTGAAGAGAGCAAATTTTAATTTTATCCAGCCAGTCAGTGCCTTTTTAGTGGGGAATTCAAGCCATTTACATTGAGAGAATTGATAAGAGAGTGGTGTTCCATTTGTCTTGTTACGTGGAAGACTGCGGCGTTGTTTTATCACTTGGTCCATTGTGGAAGCTAGGCCTTGTCCTAAACACGAGGGATTACGAATCTTACCACCTTGTCTTTTTTCTTTCCTATTCTTTCACATATCAATGTTTATTAGCCTATTTTATTTGCTCTCAGAATACATGGCAAATTGGAGAAAAATAAGTTAAAAAGCTACTAGGTTCTCATATCCAGTGCTCACCTTAGCTTATCTAGTAATAAAAGACATCCTGTCTTTATTCATAATTTTTTCCTCTCACTTCAGGGCCTGATATTGTAAATTTTCCACACCCAAAAGGAAAAGCATGGGGAAAGCACTTTATTTTAAATAAAGAAATGGGCCTAGTTACAAAGGGAAAAAATAAAGAATAGAAAGCCAGTGCATGAATCCATAAGGTATTTCGAGATCTCTGTAATAATATTCTTTCTTCTAATTTTCTGTCATTCTGTATAGATTAGGCTTCCAGTTAATACAGGAGCACGACTTTTTAAACTACCATTAGATGGCAGTGACTAAAGGAACAGTAACAATAAACAGAGAGCTTTGAGGTTTTGCTTAGGATGTTTATCTTTCTTTCCATGGACACTAGTGACATTGTTTACTGTGACAGCAACTTCAGTGTTGAACCTCAATTTAAAAAAAATCTTTAAATACATTATTTTAGTATTGGATTAGGCCAACTACCAAGTGCCAAAACAGCCAATTAGAAGTATCAGCAAATATAATTAAATTAATAACAAACTACCTACCATCCAAACTATAGATGATGAAATTAACTATTTTTTTTTTTGAGACAGAGCCTCAAGCTGTCGCCCTGGGTAGAGCGCCTTGGCATCACAGCTCACAGCAACCTCCAACTCTTGGGCTCAAGCCATTCTCCTGCCTTTGCCTCCC